TAAAGTGTGACAATAGCTAACTTTTGTATTATGAGAAGCGCACTACCTACCCTTAATTTTTAAGGTGTTTACCGGATGGTTTCAGATTTCAAATGCTTTTATCCTTCAATTTTTTTTTTCTGTTAAGGTATTCATTTAGGAGTCAGAATGTTAGATTTTTTCATTTTTTTCTTTTTAGACCTAAGAAAAGAAATCTTGCCATACATTCTGGATCATGTAGGTAGCCCCTAAATGAGTAGGTTTAGAGGAAATGCAAGGAGTAAATAAGTCTAAAAACTGTATCTATATTTTGAAAAGATCATGAAAGCCATTAAAAATATTGAATCTATAGTTTAAAAATAGCTGCTAAACTTGAAATATGGAAAACTGTGTATTTTATGGTACTTTTTAGAATGAAAATGCAATTTTAAGATTTATTTACTTTCATAATTTTATGATTGCTTGCTTTTAAGCAACCATAAATTTATGCTGAGTGTTCCATAAGCAATATGAAAGTTATCTCTGCCATATTGAAAATGGCAGTAATATTATTGAAATCTTAAACCATATCCAAATGAATCTTGTAAATTTAAGGGGAATGCCCCATAAGAATTTAACCGTCCTTCTCATAACAAAAAGTTGGCTATTGTTACACTTTAGCTAGTCCACCCTTATATAGGTAATTAATGCAGTTAACAGGTAAAATAAAACTATACAGTAATTGCTAAAACACATCATAAATCTATATGGTAACATATTGTAGTAGCAATATTGTTGATAAAAAGTGACATTTTTTAATCTAATAGACTTGTTCAACTAAAAAACAGATTAAATAGGTATGGATAGTTATTTTAGCAGTGCAATTGGCAGTCATTTTCAATGACATGTATAGTTTAATGTCATAAAGAAGTGAGCACGATTAAAATTTATAGTTTTTTGGTCTGTTAATTTGTATGGCAAGTTTGAGGAATTTTATAATATGAAAATCAACTCCTTCCTACACATATTAAAAAATGTACATCTGTCTGACCTGTTCAACTGGATTTGTCGTTGTGTGTGGTGAGATGGAAACCTGCTGCAAATTTACATTCTCTGACTCTGAAACTGGTGATGGTATTGCACCATCAGCTGTTGTCTGAAAATAAAAGTCGGGGTAAAAAAAAATGTTTTGATCCACCTAAAAAATATGAAATTATGATATGAAAGATCTACCATCTTTGTAGATGTGTTATTTCCAATTTAAATACAAATTAGTATCCTTGAGAACATTCCTCAAAGCTACTCTTATTAACATAAATAAATATATCTAGCAACAATAGTAAATTTTCATCTAGGCCTACGGTATTTAGGGAAAAATTATAAGAATAACTAACCTGTACAATTTGTTTGGAGTTCGCTGTGTTCCTTTCAGTATGCTGAGAAGGTGAGGTAAAGTCATGCTGATCTTCCTCTGATATTGCAGTTGTTATAACACCAGTAACAGTGTTCTGCAATTTAAAGTCACTATTAATCGAAATTTCTCATCCTTGAGTCTCAATAATTTAAAGTTTACCTTAAACATTCTTGTTTAAAGTGTTATCCTTAGGACTACTGTAAAAGTCAGAGCTGTGTTTTGATTCTTGTTGAAATAAGTTCCAATTATTTTACACAAAAGTGTAAAAAACAAATGACGAAGGCTAAATAATAAAAACAACACCTCAGTATCTGGAATTTGTAACGTACTTTTCAGTTTCAATGTATCGAGGTCCGTTTATCAATGTTTATAATCTGCCGTTAGTATTTAGCTAGATTGCTATCTATTTAATTGACAATGTAGCTCAGTGGCTAGGGTGCCGGTCTGACATCGGTGCGGACAGGGTTCGAAACTCGCCTCGGACATTATCTTTTTATGCTCGTTATCCAATGAAAATTAATTTTCTTTTACAACTATTGTTAAAATTGGTGATATGCCTATATCAAATTTTATTATGTGATCCGAATTTAGTTGGTAGGCTACATTTAATTTTGTTCTAACGCCAAAACAAATAGCCTACTTAACTAAGTTGACTTAAGTTAAATTTATAAATTCGAATAGGCCTAGACCTAAGAAGTTATTTTAACGATGCTTTTTAAGTAAGAAGTATATTATTGTTGACGATTTAAAGGGTTCTTTGTAGTAATTGTAGTTAATAACTGTACACACAATTAATTAACTTAAGAAATGACGAAGCAAGAGGCTAGATCACATTTTTATTTTATAATTGACACAAATAAAAAAACAGTTGGAGTAACTTTGATCAGACAACTAATTGCTAAGATTTAGACTAATTGCTAAAATATCTTTTGAACTTACCTGTAAATGTAGGGCGTTGTCATTTATTTTTCTAAAATTGTAACAAGATCCTTTCGGTGGACGCCCGCGTTTCATCTTTTAAAGGCCATTCAGCATCAGCACAAAAGCCTAATTGGTTATTCATTGTTGTCAACGTGTACACAGCCTCAGCAATAATTATTATTAATGTTTAACCTTTTGGCATTTTAGTCAGCTGATTCAAATTTTAAAAGCATAAAAAGACATACCATTGAAAACGATTATGTTTATTAACACATATAATTTATTGTAAACTTACAAGTATAAATCTAAATCGTTGTAATTTTTGGTAAAATTATTTTGACGAGCTTTCCTCGAAGAGTGTTGTGATCATTTACTGCATGACTTATATTAGAAGATTCATTACAATAGGGAATGTAGTGAAATTGCACGTGAAATAATAGTTAAGTTGAAATAAATTTAGCAGAAATCTACTACCCAATAAATATAAAAGGAGGTGTATAAGTTAAAGCTAATTAAAGATTATTCCATCCTCTCATTAATTTAACTACCGCACTCGACATTGACAGAAATTGGTTTTTCAGTTACCGTATAGTATAATATGCTCAATGGTATAATCTGAATGTTAATTTCCTTTGCTCTGTATACACACATTGTTATTTCCTTTTGGTCTGTGTAAACATATGCTACAAATAGCATGGGCAAGCTGAGGTGCCCGTGGGTACAGAACGTCATGTATGTCTTAAAATGTAAACAAAATGACAACAATGGCGGAATGTTTTCTCATAAGGCCCATGTTAAATTTTCAAAAGTTTGCACTCATATTATGGAGAAAATAGATTTTTCCTGGCTATACCACTGGTCTAGAACTTATTTTTGGCACAGAACTTAGTTATTCCGTAAATATAAACGATTTTGTTAGGGCCGATTCCCAGATCGAGTGGACAAGTATTCAAACTTTACTCGTATTATATATAGGATAAATTCCAATGCACAAAATACGTTTGGTTGTGATAGAATATAATTTGTATATCATACTTTAAAACGTATCTTACGAATATTTTAAGTATGCTGTTTCAGTATAGTTAAATTAAAGATACTGAAGCAGTTGGTGATCAAACATAACAGAATGCGTTTTAGCAGCTTATACAGTAAAATATAATATTTAAGATTCAAAGCTCTCATTCGTTTTTCAATCGTAGAAATTGCGGTGTTTCTATTATAAACCTTACTTAAGTGTTTTTAAAAAAGCATTTTAGATGTCTAAACAGTACATTGCGGTTAAATACTGTTTAAATAAGAAATTATATTTTTCAATTATATTTTTTATTTCAAATATTCTGCACGTTCCGAAATGTATAAAGTCGAAGAAATTTCATTTCACTATACGAATCAACATGTGTTATTTTTAATTCTACTTTATGTCTAATCTATTAATGGCCAATATACAATTTAAATATCATCCGAGCATTACTATGGTTGTAATAGTTTCATTCTTGCGATCACACGAAATCATTGCCAACTTGAAAGTAAACATGGAATGATAATTTTTAAGAATCTAACTTTGTGTAAAAGCTCATAAGACTTTTACGCTATTGTCAGAAAAGTAGATTACCTTTAAGTCGCTAATAGTTTAAAGACAGTTAACAAGTAAATCCAGCAAGTTTATAATTACTAGATGTTTCATTATAAAAATATATTGGAATTGAAATAACAAACTTAAAACTTGTATGAAGACATAAATGTTACGGTCACTACCACGGGTTAGAAAAATAACTGTTATAACTATAGAATGATTAACTCGATCTACTACACTAATTTTAACATTAAGATTAATATTTATAAAAAGCTTAGTGATGTTTTTAAGTAAAATTACTTCTAAGAAAAGATTTTAAAGCAGTTTATACTAATTTGTTTTAGATAGACGCTTGAATATAGGGAGTTTCTTATGTTGGTTCCATTTTAAAAGATTTTGTCAAAAATAATCTAAAATCAAAGGTGAAAAATTGTACTGTACGTCTAATTTAAAGTTTTTTAGTAATGAGTTTGTTAAACAAATTGTCTGTGACGTATTTGATGGTGATGAAAATTCATGTGATCTTAATCCGTCGTAGTTTTTCGAAAATAAATGAAAAAGTCAATCCATTATGGGTCAAATCATATAAAACTTCTGTTGTAATTAAAAAATCCATTAATTTCGATTAGTTTTAATATATTGAGAAATCAATTCGTTGACACTTAGTTCATTATTCATTATCCATTCCGTTTCTTTTTAAGTTTTTAAGAATAACTCTTAAAAAATCTGTTGTCCTTAAACGAAATAAAACCCATTAAATATCCTCCGTTGTTAAATTCAAACCCATAATAATCCTAAAAATTTTATTATCTACTTTTACTTTTTTATGTTTTTACCCTACTAGTAGTTTATTTGGAGCATTTGGAAAAGTTTTAAATAGTACAACACATACAAAAGTGTAGTGTTATAATAGTTCGCAATCCGCAGTGGATAGTATTAGACTTGTTAACGTCAAAAAATAATTGTTATATAAAAAAAACTAATTTTAATGGGTTTCACCGCCAACAAAATTTTGTAAAAGACAAGTCTCTCTTTTACTAACTATGAACATGGTCAAACCAAAATATTAAACCATAGGGCATACAGAAGAAGTAGAAAGTTGCGAAGTTTATGCGTATTTTGAGTTAACGTTACCTGTGCTGTGACGCCTCGGCAACAATGGGCAAGCCGGGCGTTTTGCGGGGCTTAAGACTGTTCTGAGCGCCTGCGTTCACCACCCCCATCCCCCAAAATCACCCACACACGCGGGGGCGATAGTCCGGGGTGGTTGGTTTTTGAAAATATACCAACCCTTGACGATGTCTTAGAATACCAACAAGATAAGTTGGGGGCAGTGAGTCATCAATTATACAGGGTGTTGAAAATGTCTGGAACCAACATTATATCTGGTGAGTGGTTAAAGAAAAACAAATTATATTTTGTGTACGGATATACTATGGTTTTACCTATCTTTTGGTGCCTTATGCAATTTTTTACCACTTATAGGGAACATCCTGTGGAGGATGTAGTAAAAAGTTTTAAAGGAAGCCTATGGCAAATGATACATCATTTTTAAAGGTCATTTTTTTCTGAGTAAGGAGCCACAAGTTTCATCTCAAAAGGACCACCCTAGCAAAAATGGCGACTGTTTGAAATTTAAAAACCCACTCATATGGAACGTCCTGTGGAGGATGCAGTAAAAAGTGTTAATGTAAAAAGTATTTTTAAACAAATAATACAGTTATAAAACATAATTGTCTTGCTGTACATTTACTAAACACTTACTGAAAAAAAAACATTTAACTAAATTGTTTGTGTTGTTTTACTAAACTTATTTTTAACAGAAATACCAATAAGCTTTCTATTTTCAAAAACTTCAAACAGTCGCCATTTTCGCTAGGGTGGTCATTTTGAGATGAAACTTGTGGATCCTTACTCAGAAAAAAATGGTCTTTAAAATGATGTATCATCTACCATAGGCTTCCATTAAAACTTTTTACTGCATCCTCCACAGGACGTTCCCTATAAGTGGGTTTTTAAATTTCAAACAGTCGCCATTTTTGCTAGGGTGGTCCTTTTGAGATGAAACTTGTGGCTCATTACTCAGAAAGAAATGGCCTTTAAAATGATGTATCATTTACCATAGGCTTCCTTTAAAACTTTTTAATGCATCCTCCACAGGACGTTCCCTATAAGTGGTAAAAAATTGCATAAGGCACCAAAAGATAGGTAAAACCATAGTATATCCGTACACAAAATATCAGTTGTTTTTCTTTAACCACTCACCAGACATAATGTTGGTTCCAGACATTTTCAACACCCTGGTAGTTTGGCCCTGTGAAACCGTAGAAAAAAAATTATAAAGGGGGGTTTATGTATAATAAACATTTATTGAGGGATCGAGGAAGCGAAGAAACCATATTTGAAGCGTCATTAGTCGGGATCTAAATGTATTTAATATTGACAACAGTTTTCCTATTTTTAAGAGTTTTGTGTGCGGTAAATGTGTGATTTATGTTTTAAATCTGGAACTGGAAGCGTAATGTTTAATATATATTATAGTAGGCTATTAATATATCTAAACACTGCATTTATCGTGTTTAAGTTTCAACTAGTTTTAGAATAAAAATAAAATCAGTTAAATTGAGCACCCGGCCGAGTCCGCTGGTATACATTACTGCATTATGTTGAATTATCCAACATTTTTAACAAAGCTAAACTAAAAATACCCCCGCCGCAGCAAACCTGCAGACTAATTGAATTTCCATTCTGATTGGATTTACACTAAAATGTCTCCTTAAAAATATCATATTTATTCCCTGTTTAAATAACATTAGATTAACGAGTACTTAGGTTTGCTGCAACAGGGAGGGTAAAAAGGTGTTTTTTGTAAAATGTTAATAGTTTAGTATGAAATTAATGCATTTTCAAAATTTGATCAAAATATGTTCATAAACACGCAAACAACGGTTTACTTATTCTCCAAAAGAATAAGCATGGGAATTTTATATTTATTTTTTTTTTAATTTTCTCCTTAACCAAGAGGCGCATAATAACGCTTCAATATGCTAAATTATTTGTTTTTTAAGCACTACAAAATGGTTTGGAAAGAAATTGTGAAATTTTGTGTTTTTAGGGTCAAAATGGGAAAAACCAATAAAACTCATAAAACCCCCATAAACCCCTGTTCCCATAGTCCCAGCATGCTGGTTTGCGATCTCGTTCAAATAAATGTAGGTTTACACGTTTGTACCAAATTTCATCAAAATCGGATGATTTTTGCTCGAGTTAGGGGCTAACGGATACATATATAAATATATATATAAGAATTTGAACGGATGGTGTTTTCGGCCTCTAGGGACCTCAAAACGAAAAAGTAAATCGATCTCGGGTCCAGGTCTTACCACGAGTACTACGGTAAAAGCTTATTCCTTGTATGGAAAATTCGCTAAAAACAAAATACTTATTGTAAGATGTAGCATATTTATGTCACATCTGCAACCTCTGTAACAACAACTAAGGGAGAAAATAACTCTTAAATATTTATAAATACACTTGCAAAATCTGTGAATGGCTTAAACATAGAAGATGTATCTACTACAGATTCCAAATTGAAAGACAGTTTATAGTTTTGACTGAAATATCTTGTTTAACTTAAATGTCATTATAGTAAATCGTAGTATAATCTATTAACTGGCTGACATTTCTAAAGACTTCGCTGATTTGTTTACTTTAAGCGTTTGGACGTCATTATTCTCTTAGGAAATCAGAAAAGGGAGATAGTTTTGACTAATTACAATTCAAATACCTTATAATCACTGTCTTAAATTAAAACAGCTATTTACACAGACGGCAAGATTGGAATTTCCTATGGTAGCTTAATTTCCTACTTTTGTTTTGGATCAATTACTTCCTTAATTGCAGAAAAGAAAAAAACCACTTTTAAATTATATAACATTTTAAAAAAAATTTGTATTAAGTTGTAAATAAACTTGAGAAATGGTTATCATGAAATTGATTCATTTCATGTGATTACATTTATGTCGTATTCGTTATCTTAAACATTTTAAGGACATGTCCCAAAAATAAATTATGGTCATAATTTTGAGTGCTGAAAAATGGTTATTACCGAAATATTTTCAACTTTATAGCTCATTACAGTTATGTCTGTTTAATAGGTGTTCGTTCTTGGAGAAATGACTTAAAAGACATTCCAGGCGAATGCACTAATTTGCTATGGAATCTGCTCTTTAGGAATTAGAATATTAAATTATATGATAAGTCTTATGGTTTAATACAAACTATACCATTTTTATATTTTAAAATATTTTACTTGCTGTATTTAAAGCTTACTTACTAGTCGCAGATTTTTTAAATGTTTAGTAAACATTTATTTCTTTAATATTTCAAGGTGTTCTACGTAACAATTTTTTAAATTATTATTGATACTTATAAAACTGCACGTGTATTTCATAATGATTATTTCCGAAGTATGTTCATCACTCAAACTAAACTAAAACTAAATGATTGAAATTGAATAGATAAAAATTAAATAGTTAAACAAAATTTAGTTTTTGTTCCCAAACTAACAAGTCTGATAACTTTAGCTTCACTATTATTAACGGTTAAAAGTCTATGTGATCAAAGTTTTAGTATTTTAAAAATTGATTTATTTAATTGCATTTAAATACTTTATCATTAAATTTCTTAACAGAACCGGAACCGGCACTGCAACATGTTTACATTTTATTCTGCCTTCCACACTTTGGTGTACCATAAAACCTTAGGGTCTGATTCGGGTCGGCAAAAACTATCTAATCCAAACAACGAGACACTATTGTAGTGATTTGAATACAAAATGAGCTTAAATTTATTAATGGCTTGAGGGTAACAATCTGCAATTTATAAGATTTTACCATGATAGCATTCTACAACTGGAGTTAAGAACAAAAGTTTAAATGTCGAAAACTAATTTACCTCCACAATTGAAAATTGTAGAAAACTTCATTAAAAGTGTTAAACATGGGTCGAGATGGTTTAGTGGTAGAGCGCGGGGCTTCGGAGCATGGGGTCCTGGGTTCAAATCCTGCCAATTACTAATGGACATTATCTTTTTGATGATGCCCTCCAAGTCTCTGTTATAATGCCTATCGTGAAGCAATGTGTAAAAAAAGTTCCGGGCTAGAACCTATCGTCATTAAATGTGAAGGTAGAACAAAAACAAATTATATAAAAAATGTACTAAAATATAGATATAAAAAGTTATGCCTATTTGACAACGACCTTATCTGTGAGTAACTAAGGGTATATAGTTGAAATGTCATAGAAATTTACAGAACAACTTTGCACGAGAAAAATTGCTTTCAAGTATCTTTAGACTGCTATCTTACTGGCCCATAGAAGTTTTCAATCTCCAATGTAAAGACAATAAAACAAGTCTACCGTATCAGAAGAACAAACTCATATACTACTTATTGATGTCGGTGAAAAGTTCCAATTACAAGTCTATTGAATTGTAATTAATAAAGCATTGGACTGTAATTTAAATTATAGTGGTTTTGGATCCAACATTCGTGTTGTAAATTTAACCTGTTGTATGAATATCAATGCTGTATATCTATTGAGTAACTTTTTTAAATAATTAATATTACTGTATTTATGTCATAGACAGTCACAAGGATAGTTTTATAAATTGTCTGGCCTAGCACAGAAAACTATTAAAAGCAAGAAAATCCTCTCATTATATACAGGGTGTCCTATTACGTAATTAAACAGAAAAACTGCTGGAAATGGTTTTATGGTTAAAAACTAAATGAATATCAAGAATAATAATTTAAAGAGATCCATTAGAAAGAAATCCGCCATTTTGTATTTTAGTGTTTAACATTTTATGTCTCTATAATTATAAAATAAATATTAATGAGATTTAGTATAGATTTAAAGTCAAAACAATCAGTTTGCAGAAAATACACATTTACAAATATTTTTGGTTTCAAAATGGCGACAATTTTAATCTACAAACTGTGTTGTAACGTAAACAACAAAATAATGGGTAATTCTATGAAAAGAAATGTCAAACACACCTTCAATTAGTTTTACAAACTGTCTAAAAATTGATACCCAATTTAAAGAGATCAATTTATAAAAAAATATAAATAACTTTAAGTTGTTAAATAAAGCAAAATGAGGCGCAACCTGCTCAACCTTATTTTTCCTCATTGTATAACAGCAAATCGTGATAATTTAGCTATTTGTTATTCGGTTGGATTTGATAGAAAATCGTAAATGCTTAGTAAAAGAATTTGTAATTTTTTTAATTACCTATTTATAGTAATTTTAAGTTATAAATATCATATTAACACATTTGTAATGATTCATTATTTTCTATAGTTCGTTGACAATTGAAATCTTATACTAAATGTCATAAATGTATCTTCAATATTTTTAGAGGTATAGAATTTATTATAATTTTCTTCGCTTTTGAATAACATTTTGAAGTAAATAGTTTTATGTTCTTCCTATGTTAACTTTTTTTTTTTAATCAGAAGTCATTCGATTAAATTAAAAACCCTAACAATTATACTTTGTTAGTCATTAAATATTGTATAAAAAGTAAATTAGGCGAATGAAAGCCAATTTTAAAACAAAACGAGTGTTTTAATAACATGAAAGATGTTAACGTTGAATTTCCTCAGCTGGTTTTTCCTCAGTTCCAAAATGGCGGTCAGTCTAATCGGCGTCTGCAACAAAACATATCCAATCTGTTTAAGTACCCATTACTGACTACAACTAAGCATTACTTAATTAAACAGATGTCACTTGTAATAGAGTTATTTATGGTACTCTGCTGTGAAGGATTGTTCAATAATAACAATATGATCACAAGATGTCAGGTTTGAACTTAGTAAGGGATATTTTATATGCAAAACTACTTTTCAGGACTAAAAAGTACAGAATTAAATTAAATTACATTTTATTCTTAAAGGCCAAGTTGATTTAAATAGTCCTGACAAAAATATAATAATTCATAAAAAATTATTTTTTAAAAATTCCACGTTTTTAAACGCACTAAAAAGTATCTTACAAGTATTTATTCTCTCAACATATTTATAAATTATTTTCTAATTTTTAGTGCGATTAAAAACGTGGAATTAAAAAAAGAATTTTTATTTATTAATTATTTTATACTTTTTAGTCTATGTAAATATGTTAAATCTATTTTATATGGCGTGTTTAACTATATGTATTATATGTGTCTAGTACATAACCAAAACCTTAAAATCTGTAATCAGATGTTTTATCTTTACTTTGAAACTAGTGGCTTGTAGGGGCTATAGCCCCTATATATATTATTTTGTACCCCTCTAGTAATTATTATTTCGTACAAATTATTAGCCTCGTGGTTTACCCTACATTGAATTATTGTTTAACGTTTTTGTATATTATAATATGTATAATAGTTATTACATACCTACCTACATAATGCATTTTAATGTCTGCTCTGTTTAAAATAAAAATTCCAAAGGACATGTAGTGTGTTTATAATATAAACTTTATAATCATAATACAACTAAGGAACATTGTCCAATAATAATCTTTATGACTATTAATTAAATCTATATAGATAACTTTAAATATAGATGAATTGACTTAGAAAAACACATAGAGATAATGTCATCATCCAAATTGTAAAATGATAATTCTATAAATTGTTGTATAGTATCCATTTTGGTCGCATCCTTGGTCTTTATTTGGTTCTAGTTCTATTTTAACATCATCTGGCCGCTTTACCCGGCTGAACGCAACATAAAGATGACTATTGGCAAACACTGGGTTTTTCAAATACAGTAAATGCCAACTTTTGTGAAGGTTCGGCCTTGCGCCACAATTTCACAAAAAAATTGCGCAATGCACAACAATGAATGCACCCACCGTTCTTTGGCCCTACGCTGTGTAATGCAATCTCAAAAGTGGTACTGTACCGGTAATCTATACACAAGAATAACTTCATATTCATCCGATGCTCATTTATTCCCATTAATATCATGCCAAATCTGTCGCCTGTTGTTCTCATTTCGAGGAACAATACCTCTGCGTGGTGTACTTTAGATATTATACATTATTGCTGTGCAAAAGAACAATCTATTGTAAAGTATTAAGTTTAAAAGTATCAAATTGTTTGTTTAAATTTATTTTATCTAATTTTCACTTTGTGTTGTTTACTACTTCACTAACAATTTTACAATAACAAAATAATGCACATTCAGGTGTGGTTATAATTTTTTTTTCAATTTATACAGTGACAGCTGTGTTTACACTAAGTAAAAAAAAACATAAAATATAGATTCCCATGCTATTTAAATGTGAATTATTTTATTCCGTAACAACCTTTTGGTGCATAATTAAGAAAAATAAATAATTTCCCCAAAAATGTCATGCCCAGAACTTTAAAATGAGACCTCTCCCAGCTTTCTACGGCCTCCCGTTCGTTCAAAATTTTATTGGGAAATTTTGGGCTTACGGAATTAGATAAATAGATGCTAGTTTTATATTTTCAGAATATCTCGGGAACAGAACGTGTACCTCTTAACCTCTGCTCTTTGAACTGTCAAATTTAAGTATTTAAAGATGACTTAAATGAATTGATATATTTACATTCTTTCAAAATGTAAACATGGAAAATTTGGAAGCCCATGGGGCGTAGCCCAAGGGGAAATGAAAATTAAATGATATAATATTGCATTGTCATCCATTTGTGAGCTAAGTTCCAAGTTTCAAGTCTCTAGGTCATCGGGAACTTCGTTTAAAATTGATATAAAAATGTGTAAGAAAGCGAGCTAATAAAAACAAGCCCATGGGGCATAGCCCAAGGTAAATATGAAAATTAAATGATATAATATTGCATTGTTATCCATTTTGTGAGCTATGTTTCAAGTTTTAAGTCTCTAGCTCATCGGGCAGTTAGTATAACATTGATTACAAAATTTCTACTGGACAAGAAAGCGAGCTAATAAAAACGTTTTAAAATAATTGATGTCTTAAACTACTACTACTAACTACTGCTACTTAAATTGTCATTTGACCATCTGTTTTTATCTCCAAGGGTCAACGACAAATTTAAAATACTGTAGTTAATGGTAATAAAAAAAAACTATTTTGGATCCCCCAATTAGATATCTGTCTATATGTTAAAAATGCTACATCCTCCCTACGTTCTATAAACAATTTAATTTACTTTTTAAAGATATATCTTAGGGGATGGTTACGTATAGAAAACTATAACAAGCTAGTTAATATATAAAACACCTTTTCATACCATCTAACATACATGTAAAGCAGCTTTAATCAAGGGCCTAACGAGATTCATATTTTTGTATACATCAAAAATTACAAACACAAATTTTGATTTATTCTATTGTATAAAAAAGTATGATACATTAATTACGTGATGAAAGGTTTGATAGTTGATCAGTTTCAAAAGTGACACAGTCCTCTATATTGGCCATGTGCTTTTAGTTGTAAGTATATCAGGGTTAGTTTTTGGCAACAGAGTTTTCAAAACTTACTGAACAGAAAATTTTACCCTTTAGTGTGTGCTTCAGGTAGACAACCAAAGAAATAATTAAATCAATAAAATAAAGTTATTAAATTAACAACACACTAAATATACTAAATATTCTTTATCAATAACTACAAACAGGTTGATACTATTTCACTCGCAGATTAAATTGACCAATTACCAGGAAAATTGGTTAATTTAAATGGTTTGATTGATTAATGTTCATAGGAGTAGTATTAAGTTGGTGAACCTCTCTATATACGCACATATTATTTAGTTCGATTGATTTTGATTAGTTAATTTATTTACAGTTATTAATTGCGGAGCCTTCTTGTAAAAAATTCCAAAAATGAGTCATATTTTAGTTATGGGCTAAGAACGGTTACTTTCGTGTTATAGGTAAACCAAAGAAAGTAAAAGTTAACCTGCAATCAGATTGTGAATAGAAAAAATAATCTAAAAACACGTTGAAATTTGGACACTTACTATAAGTTAGATCTACATAAAAAAATAATTTCCAAGCAAGAATTATGCAATAGAATGGCAGTGGAACTAGTAATAGTTAGTAATGCTGCGTTCCCATGTACATACAGTTTTCATGCTTTACAACAACTCACCACAAAATATTCCCAAGGGTATAGACTTCCAAGAAAGCACTAATCAACCCGAACTGTCGCTAAAGTCAAATAATGTTCTGTAAAACAATAAGTAGGTAGGGAAGATAGCAAGGGTTAGCTATCCCAACAACTCAACAACATCCAAACCACCCAGAAACCACCCAAAAAAGCACCTTCAAGAGCAGTGTATCCTTCGGTGGGTTCTTCAGTGATATTTGTGGGATCTTCGTGAAAGATTGGAGGGTCTTCAGATAATTCTCCTTCAGCTACTGGAGATTCTTGAAGTGTGCTTGATTGTTCCTCGTCTCCTGCTAATACTTCTGTTTCACCACTACCTTCAGCGCCAGCTTCTCCTGCACCTACTGAAACTTGGCCTTCTCCTTCATGATGGTCTCCTTCTTTAGCATCAAGGTGCTCTCCATCTAAAAATGTAATTATGATGTGAGATAATTGTTCCAATTATATTGTTTTGGACTGAACAATGTTTCTAGAATATTCTCAACCTTAGTTAAAGTTTGTTGACGTATTTTGCTCAAAATTTTGTCTTTTTCATCAATTTAAATAAATATAAATAATACTATGGAGGTTTCTGTTGGTAAACGATTAAACTTATTATTGATTTAAATGTGGATTTTTTTGTTTTGGTATTGGTAAACTTGTAAGATATTTCCAAAATTTCATTACAACAAATAAACTACAATCATCCAAGCTCTGACCATTTATATTTATAACCATTGTATTCTGTTTTAGAAACATAAACACATGCTTGGATATGTACAGACAAATTACAAATGAAATTATTTAATTACATCCTTGGTTGTTCTATAAAGCAGCCATGTACTGAAAAAATGCTGAACACACGGAATCATTTGTAATTTATTAGTTTTTACTCAATGTATTAATTAAGTATTTTTGTCGAGATGAAAGTGGTTGCAATACTAATGGTATATTTTTAATGTTGATCATTTAAGCAAATATCTTCACTCTCACACCCAAGTCTGATTCTGCTCAATTTATATTGGTTCTCCACAGCAAATGCAATCAGCAGATATATCACACAGTTTACCTGTGACAGAAGGTGAGGTTGCGCGCTTGATGTTGTAGTCGATGACAGGCTTGAGATACTCCTCTGGAACGTGCTCAAGAGTTCCGATCAACTTTTGTACAAACTCCTCCACAGTGGCAGGATGGTCTCCAGTCACTGATTCCTTCAGGTAGTCCCATAGATCTGAAACAGTTACATTATGGAGTTATTGCTATAGAATGTTGGCCTTTGGTTTGGAGTATTACTTCTCCCCTGTATTACATTATCCAAAATTCAATTCTATTACCAATTTGGTACCTCTCAGGGAATACCCATCTTACCAAAGATTTTCATCCAATATGAGTATAGTTAATGGAACCTCTAACGAATGAAATACCAACTAAATAATAATTTTCTTACCTAAGATGCCACCTTCAGAGTTCAGGTGAGCACTACAACTACTAAGCTAGCCTTAGTTCTTGAAATAAAAAAACGAACAAGATGTACAGAGGTCAATACACTATTGGTTCTTACCATCCGGAGTATGTTGCGGCTGAGGTGGTGGTGGTTCGGAACCCTCGGAGAGTTCGGACGGCTGGACCTCCCCTTGGTCAGGCGACTGTCCCCCTTCCCTCATCTCCCCTTCAGGTATCTCTTCTTCGCCACCTTCTAGACGTGACATCTCCCCGGAGTCTGCCCTTCCTGTGTATACTTTCTTTATGTAATCTGTAGCATAGTTGGGCATGAAGATTAGACGGCATGCAGTTAACACCGCTCGATGGATTATTAGTGAATGACTGTTAGAATATAGGGAAAAATACAAATGCTGTTCATTGAGAGTATCAGGCACTATATACATGCATTTCTGAAGATAGTTAACACTTTTGATCAATATGAGTTGTAATAAGGTGCAATAAATTAAGAGGTGGTTAAATATTAATATATGTAATGATGAAATTTTATGGGATGCTGGTCAAAACCTTAAAGCTGTATTGGATTTTTAAGTTTTTATTTCTAAACTAATAATTAGCTGTTGGTCATCAACGCCTAAAGAATTTACTTTAATATCATTAGCCTAATTTTTAAGTCGTGCAAAACTGTTAACAATTGTTTTGCAAAATAATAAATTAGATACTTAAACATCCATTTTACTTTGAAACCATACTTCACCATAGAATAATAATACAGCATATTAAGTTTTAGTGTTCCTAACCCGATTTAAGAAATAAAAGAACGGGAAGGAGATTAGAATCAGAAAATGCTTTTTCCAATTTAAAATGACACAGTTGTGGTGTAAAAATAGTAGTTTGTCTAAAATTGTCATAAAAAGTGAAGTGGCATTTTGTTTACTTGAATAAGTTGGGGAAAACAGACGATTTCTTACCAGTTTGCAAAACAGCTGATTCTCGACATTTTATACTTTTTCCTACAGTCACCTAACAATGTACATGTTCTCTCACTGATTTGAGAAAGCAAAGTAGCCAATTCGCTCATTAGTGAGACAATGTTAACATTGTGTCATTCTAATTACTTTGTCTCACTCACTCCAGATTTGCAACGTGAAGGCACGAAATAGTGAGCGCGTAACATGCAGACAAGGTCATATGCGCGTGAAATACGTTGGCAGCACTGACTGTAAATCAGCTGGTCAGCTGTTGTACTGTTGTAGTGTTGTATCATTAAATGTAATATTGAAAGTTCACTTCTGTTTAAAAATATGTCACGTTTCTTTACCAATTTATTTGTTTTTTGGTAACTGCAGGAAAAATATAATGTGCAACTCGAGTGCAAAGTGCAATTGCTCACTAGTTGCACAAATAACTATTCCCATTACTTTGCTTACTACAGTATGCGTAGATTTTCCCTACTATGCACACCAGCTGAGAAATAATGTTTTCAAGAAACATTCTTGCCTATTAATATATAGGTTTAAATTTAAATATTAACTACATGAAACGACACGTATGTATATATTATATTGATTTTTTAAAGAATATGTCTAGATGTGGTGTTAAGATAAATCAGTTTTTATCTTCTCATTTGAACATCATTGCACTAAATTAATGTTTAATTAAATTGAGTTACAATCGAAGAAATAATTTTAAATTGCTACTCAGTAACATAGTATATAACTCAGTAACAGTAGCATATAATGTGCAATTTCTGGGTAAAGTATATGTTTTAAACTCGAAGATATTGACACATAAGGCTTCTCTAATTTAAATAAAACAACATTGCTCACAACAATTATCATCAAATTCATTCCAAAGTAAATAAATTGATTATTTTTAATCTAAAAACTTATAATTAATACAAATTGTACAATTACTACCTTCAATCTCAGCATCGCCCTCGGATATCTTTATTTCTTCTTCAAGTTTTGGCTTATCCACAGCTTCTTCTTCATTTAGAGATCTGATTGATTTGATAGATTTTAGGGAAGTTCTGTCTGCACTTTCTGTCACTTCATCGTCTGTATCCTTTTCTTCCTTTTCTTCAGTGTCTTCAATCTACAAATTAATGTAAGAGTTTTTTATACTGACTTTATACATGATATCCATTTCGTCAAGGTCACCGTTCACAGGAAATGTTCAGGAGCGAGATAATTGTTTCACGTTTAACATTTTGCAATGAAAGCGATTTTCGGTTAAAAGAATTTCCAAAATAACCAAAAATAAGTGGATATAAGTAATTACTGTATTTTTATGCACCGAGGAAGTCTGAATACCATGTCACAAAGGGTGGTTTCGAGTCCACTCTGGCAGCCATTCTTAGTTTTCACTTAAAGAAATCTGCAAGTCACACAATTTAAGCACATTTACAGCTTTATTTTTCTTAAATAACCACTTTTATAACAATCGAATTACGCAAGCTTACGTTTGTACGGTTTGTAATTAATTATGCTAGAGGTCGTCCAATGGCCGAAAACTCTACCACAAATATGTAATGTACATAATTCTCTATTTCCACCCCACCCTGTAAATAAAACATGTGATGGGAATTTCTTCCATTTGTTTAGATTTTCCGTATATATTTCGTTGTTATTTCTTCGCCAGCATGGCAACCCATAAGGCCTATACAATTTTTTTTTTAATTTTAAATACATTATTTGTGTTTATTTTTGAGCCTTTTTCAATTCATACAGGGATTCTGCACATCTACAGGAAAATAGCAGTATGTTTAGATTTCCCCTGCGATGTACACGAGCTGAGAAAACAGGTTTTAAAGAAACATGCTTGCCTATTAATATATAAATATAATTGCTAAGTACATTAGTTTAATTTAGGGTCTGCATGGTTTAGCAACTGATTTAAAAGTAGACATGAGTCAATTATTCAATAGACCTTGAAACGCCCCATGATGGCACCAATAGTTAACACCCATCAATTAATTCTGCTCATCAATGTCAAATAGGGGTTCAACTGGATCAGTACCAAAGTTTGCTAGGCATTCAAGTCAAGAATTTAGATGCGAAGTGACGTGCCAAATTCTGTTAGATCATGCAAGTCTTGGCTTTCATATATTTCGTAATGTGGTTCAATTTGTGTGTCATCTTTGTATTTTATTAAACAAGCGGGACTGGAATACGTAAAATATAACTGAATATACCCCTACCTCGTAATCGGCAAAAAATGTGTAAACAAATACAATAAATTATTGCTGTTTTCTAATTATACATAGAACACATGTTCATCATAGTTCAATAGTTTGGATTGTATGTTTTCTTGAGCGAACAACGGATCTAAAACAGCAAATAAAAAAAATTCAATTAACTACTCCACTCGTAGTTTTACTGTGTACTGATAATGGTTTGAAACGTGTACGAAACTAAACAGTATATAAGACATTAGACATTCAATTCAAGACTACCTTGTGCTTGGGTCTTGTATTACATAATAAATTAAGCTTTTCAAATTGGAATAGCATAAACTAACATTTTGCTATGTTAAAAATACATTATCAAGCCATGGTTATACATAAATTTAAAATAAACCAAGGAAAAACTAGAGTAAGGGTTTACCTGAAACGATTTTATTTTTGATTCGGAATGTTCCTGAAAACTTTCAGTCGTATATTCAGTGTCAGATGAAAAGGATTCTTCAATATGTTGTTGTTCTTCTTCTACCTCTTCTGTTTCTTGTTCCTGAACACTTTCGGTTGTATATTCTGTGCCAGAAGTAAAATGTTCTTCAATAGTTTGTTCCTCTTCTTCTTCTTCTTCTTCTGTTTCTTGTTCATTGGCATAATCCTCATCTGCCCAGGTTACTCTCTTTCCTTCAACATCTATTTCTGACTCTTCATTGATACCAGAACCTTCTTCTAATGCTTCCCTAACACAAGGTTCTGAAACTACGACTGTTTTCAAATCATCTTCCAAAACCTCCCAGCAGTGTTCTTTAGATGTAACATGCTCTGTTTCACATTCTTCTTCCTCCTCTGAACTGACATTTTTTAATTCCTTAAGATGTATAGCTTTGTTTCCCTTCCACTCCCAATCCTGCACTGGATTAACTAAGTCTGTTTCATTACTTTCTTCTTCAGATTTTGAAATTTTTTCCTGGTCAGCAAAATGCATATTTTCTTCGTCGTGGTACCTATCTTCATTAGTTGTTGTATTAGCACAGGTGTGTTCTACATTTATATAATCATCTGACTGTTTAGGCTGTCCATTGCTGTTAGTTTCATTGCTATTAAATGTAAGAACAGGTTCATTTTCCAAGGATTGAATATCGTTTTCTAAGGGTTGAATTTCGTTTTCGTTTATATTTAGCGTTTCTGCTATTTGTACATTTTCTACACCTTTTAATATTGAATACTCAGGATCAGGTGTTAAAAACCTCTCAACGTCTTCCTCTAAAACGCTTACTCTATCTACATACGTGTCGGTCTCAATCGGCTTGAACGAATCCAATTTCCTCCCTTCAAGAGCTTCTATCCTCTTCCTCAAATCAGATATAACCCTATTTTGTTGTTCACTATCATGCCTAATATTCTCAATTCCACATCGAAGGGTCAAATTGATAGACTTCAACTCTCCAATCTCTCTGAACATGTCTTTGCAGAGTTCCGATAGGTCTTGGACCGTTCCTTTGAGCTCGTTCATATCTTTCGCAAAGTCCGGCTGGCCCTCCAAGTGGAAGTCCAGTTGTCTAGAGGGCATCGTGTAATCTTCACTGTCGCTATCACTGTCCGATGGCCGAGGAAGAGGGAGAATCTTGCAAGTTTGACAATGAAAGGTGTTCCTCAACGGGTCGCTGCTCAATTCGTAATACGGAAATCCCACCAGCTGAGCACAGTCGATGTGGAAATGGCTAGAACACTCGAGGCAAGACACGCTATCCTCTACTGACAAGGGGTAGCTGCAGCTAGCGCATCTTGCGGCCATGATTGGGCTTGGAAGGGACCGTCAGCACTAAATTGACGTATGCGGCGGTGTGATACATCAACTTGACGCAGTCAACGATAGTTCTACCCATTCTAAATTATCTACCGAAACTCTACTGCGCAAAACTACGACTGACGAGAACTCGATCGGGCAAAGTTTATTTCAGGACGGTTACGAAACTTCACCGTGGCAAAACTTTTGTCTGGCGTAGTTGTAATTTTGCTATTGTTATCTGAACTCGTCATAGATGTTTCTTAATTAATTTCTATATTGCTAAATGTAAACGTGTTGATTATATTCGGGTTATTTCACGGTTTTAATTGAACAAAAATCTTTTGGAGGCTGGCGCATTAACTTTGTAAAATGTATACGTTTGTTGTATTATATGTGAACTCTGGAGTTTTAGGGAATTGTTCGTCATAGGGGTTTCACAAGCTTATGTAGGTACTTATAATTACAACTCTTAAACATATAAATTTAAAATTAAATTATGTTTAGTGTAAATGGTATATATATTTAAATAGACTAAATACACCCTCCCCCCATACACAAATGAAAAAAAAAAATGTTATCAATGTTGCGTCGTGCAAGTATGGAAATTGGTTGCGTTAATATTAAATATCTATTATATTATTAAAGGTTAAAATAGACATTAGATATTAAAAGGAAATGAGCAAACGTTTTCGCACACTTAAACCTAGGTGACAAACATTACCTTTTCAAAATGTTCAATTTCTTCTGTGGTCTTGATTCCATGGAATTTCTTCTGAAACAGAAGGATCTTGGAATTTCTACTGTCAATAACTAGGATTGGGTCTTAAACATAACAACAATTGATTGGTTAAAATTGTATTGCGTGGAAGTATAATTATTATTTACAACCATCAGCGTTTTTTAATATTGTATAAACTTGTAATATTGTAATATGTATTGTATTGTAATATGTATAAGAAAAACATTGTTGTTTTTATACGGAAATCATATTTAAAAAGAATTTGAATTTAAAAAAAAGATTACCTTTTATTATAAACTATTATTATGTTTACCTAGACATTTTAATAGTTTTATAAAGGTTTTAAGCATCTTTACATTTTAAACCAGTGTTATTATGTAATCTAAATATAAAATATTGATTAAATAATCATTCCAATGGATATTACTAAGAGAAAAATCATCTAATGCAAAGCTTTTGTACTCTAAGTGGTCTTTTTATTTTTTATTTACAAATTTAAGTTTATTAAAGTTTCAAAACTTACATCTTCCTCCTTGGGTTTGTAGTCTGGTCTTCGAACGATCTTCAGCTGGCTTCTGAAGTTGTATTCCGCAGCTTTTCGTTGTAGCTTTGCAAATTTGTTCTCATACTTAGACACCTTTTTCAACACAGGGCGTTGGCTGGAATATATGTCTAGTGAATACAAAGTGATTTTTTATTCATTTAAATAAAAGATATATGCGTTTATATTTGTAATGCATTTTGAAAGCTATTCAATCTGCCTGGAAGATGTTTTTTACCTATTAAGTCACGATTAACTACACTTGTACGATTAAACACAACTAATATCTGTCGCAGAAACGCTGCTTGAGCAGATTTACCATTGCGTAATGTACCTTTACTTTTAATATGTATGCAAAATAATTTAGCTTTTTACTTGGACCAATGTAAATAAGTTTTTATATTATTTGCATTGTTCTTTATACTCAGTTTAGTTTGCTACTACCATGAAAAAATGTGTATAATTGTCGGTTTTTGTATTAACATCCCTTGATTACTTTAAGACATTCTTCTAATATGAAAATATTTTCTTAAACAAGAATTTATTATTTTTTAGGTTTTACAAGGATAAAATTGGAGTTTAGGTACTGCGTTTGCTCTATGAACGTGTTGAAAAATATTATAAGAATATTATTGAATTAAATTATTTCTACGGTGTATTAGAAGTATTGTTATTGAAAATAGTTCGAATAAATACGCTTTAATGAATAAGTTGAAATGAGCCTAATTTGAACATTGGTTTATATACATTTGAAACAATAATGTACTGTATCAACTTCTTTTTTTATCATAAGAAACATACCTTAAAATTATTTTTGAAGTACTTTGAAATGGGAATTTCAGAGCAAATTACTGAAATATTTGCTAAAAGTTACGAGGAAAAATTAGCTCACATCTAAATGAAACTTGAGCAAGGTGGTTTGTTCGTAATATTTCGTATTTACACATTGACCTTGTGATGTTTAAAATAGAAATACAGATATAGAGGCTTTGAATCTTGCGTTTGATAGCCTTAAAGGATAATGTGATATAGTTACAACCATAATATGTAATGGGAAATTAAATAAAATACTTTACGTACAACTTTCCACGAAGATCACTGACTTTTTGAGTTAGTTCTCCTATCTGAAAAAGGAAAGAAAGTTGGATTATACTGAATGGTATGACTTGTGGTAGTAAAATACATACGGCCACTAAGACATTGTACCATTTTAAGATTGGGATTTTCTAACTTTATCGGTAATTAGTGATATTTTTATTCAAAATCTTATTTCTGTTTCATATAATTATGTTTTTTTGTATTTTACTTATAGGAAAAACTGTTTTAGTAAGGATGTTTTCGTATATTATTATTTTTCCTGAATTATAAATGTCCAATTATGCATTTTGAAGCGGTAAGAGTATATAATTTAACTAGGAAATAAAAAATACATAAAATTAAACCACTTCAAACACATTTTAAAGATTTTAATGTAAATTTTAACATCTTAATAAACATTTTAACATGTTTAACATTTAAAACACCTTACCTCAAATGTTTGCTTCCTTATTTCATATTCCAAATCCCACTTGTCAGATTCAATTTCAATGATTCTCTGGAAGTAGTCTTCACAAATGTCTATCAAGTCATCTGTAGAAAACCAGAATATTTATTGTGAATTTGCAAAACGGCAATTCGATATTTAGAGGGTGTCCATCAGATAAAGAAAAATAAAACTCTGCTATTTCCAAATTCCAATGCTATATGCAAATTCCAATGTTAACATATATTTGTAATTTGTTCTACCTAGTTTTTGAGTTACTGTAAGTAAAGAATGCGGCAACTAGGATGACATGGGGGGGGGGAATTGTCCATTGTCCAAAGACGCTAGTAACAGCCCGTGATCGTTTTTCAAATAACATCAGGTTGTGGCATTATCACTTAGATAAAATCCATTGATTATTTGCCGGGATTTGAGCTGAGGACCTCAGGGGCCACGCATTGGGTGGGGGGGGGGTTTTGGGGCAGTGAAAAGAAGACAAAATAAACTCTCCCACCACTTTCACCTATTCTGAATACGTACATAAAATAGATTCTAAAAATGTTTTAGATGACTGTGGAAAATTATAAAATCTATAGTGTTAAGGGAGGGTTTAAATGTGAATAGGCACCCTGCTTACTACTCTAAATGTTTTCATGCATACATAAATTTATTTATCAAACATGTTTGGATTGATTAAATCGTTGCAAAATACCTATGGATAGTTACCAACATGTTACCTTTACTCGCCCATTCCAAGTCTTCCGGTTCTCCACATCTTTCCTCGATTATCCACCTCCTTTCATTAGCCTTTCGTTCTTGCTCCTTTCTCAGTTCCTCTGCTGCTTTTCTCCTTAACAGCAACTAAACATACAAACGACTATTGTACAAACGAGACAGTTTTTACATACAAATTAGTTAAGTGCTATAGAAAAGGCTTACGATAATACCCTAAATTTCTTAGCATTGCTATTGGGCCCTTTACCAAAAAAAGTGATAATCAATTATCTTTTGTGTGTTTAAACAGAAAAAATAATTGTTTATTCAATATTGCGGATTTTATATGCAAATAAATACCAAAGCACATAACTAACCTAATTACCAATACATTTACTATTCATCCTCTCCTAATCGAATTGGTTATATTTCAAAAATCCTTGAATTGTGTATTGTTATATATTGAAAACTAACTCGCAAAGTACATTTTTGCGTTTCTTGAAAATTGCAGGTTACGAAAAAAAGTAGTTGTAATATAAAGATTTCTGAACCACTAGACTAATCTAAAAGCCCAAATTATTTTCTCAAAGTTCTTATTTCTCTAGAGGTTGACTTAATGACCAGTGAAAAATGACTATACTCTTCAGTCTCTTCTGTACTTACCCTGAGTTTCTTCTTACGCTCTGGTGTCATGAAGCCCTTCTTGGCCCTCCTAGCCTTGGAAGCTTCCTCCATCTTGGCTCTTAACTCCGCTTTACGCATCTCAATCGCGATCTTCTTTCTGATTTGCTCCTAAAAATATTTTTGAATAAAACTTAGTTAAGTTATTATTAAGTTGCCAATTACCATGCTATCGCTAATAAATTAGTGTTAAAGTCTAAAGCACAACAATTTGTTTAATGTTACAGATTTTTTTGTTTCACTAAATGAAAATAATTGTTTGGCATAAAGGTTTGTATTAGATAAACAATTTATCATGTAGAAAATGGGTTTGGTGTGTTTAGTATGTTTCACATACTAGATAAATAATAGTTTATAGGACTATAAAGCAAATAGTGGGTAAAAAATACGCTGGTTACTCTTAAATAAATATGTAACAATATTAAAAGAAACATTATTGCAATGACACGGTAAGAAAAAGTTTGAAGTCGCAGATTATACGTTCCCACAATAATATATAAATAATAATAAAAGTTAATGTTGATTGCAATCTACCATTACGGTTTTGCAGAAAAATGAAATGTTTGCGTTCGGGGTTTTGAGTTTTCGTAGTCGGTTTATAAATGGTCTAATTAAAAGGCATGTGTGGAGTTGACTTTGGCACATCCCATACGCTAGTAGGCCTACTACGAGTATTTCTTAAAAGATCGTCACTGACTTCAAAAATAACAAGAATGACTAAGTTAAATTTAAAATTCGAAAAAAAATATACTAACCTCTTCCTCCCTCAGCCTTTTCTGAAATAAAAACAAAAATCAATGTATATATTCCAGGGATTGCCATAGAAATTAAGTTGTATGTTAGTAAACATGTTTGACAACCGTAACAACCAATAGGGTAGTCAACAACTCATTTAAACTACATAATTTAATTATTGCATTTTTATGATATTGTTTTTT